ATTTTAATAAACAAAAAAAAAATTGAAACAGTGCAGCAAATAACACGTGGAAGATTGTAACCAATGACAAAGAAGTGATATATATAAACAACAAAATACAATTTGTATTAATGTTCGGCACCCAATTTGCCAAAAACCATAATTTTGTAACAGATGCTTTTTGAGAGACACCCAAAAAATTAAAGTTGTAGATTTCCAAACTCACAAATTATCTTAAATGTCTCTTGGTGTCAAATTGATTTCAAAAATGAAATTGCTGACTCATAAATGCCAGATATGAAGAAAACAATCTTGAAAAAAAAATCTCATCCCTGGATAGCTGAATCCTTCAACAAGCAACAATTCAAATTTTCATTAGTAAAGTGCAGCATCACTTGCTGACAATGCACGAAGTAACACAATTATTTATTGACAGTTGCATACAACACTGTATAGTTTACAGAGTTGCAGCAAAACATATTGTCATAAACTTAGAATTAAATAAAACAGTGCACTGTTCTCTGCCTGTCAAACAGTCCCATTTACCTTTCTTCAAGCAAAGTGGGCTCAGATCAGGTGTATGTGTTAGAAACAAATATGGAGTACAAGTCAACGTCCCTTGCTGATAAGTGGTTGATTAGAGTTATACGTGGATGTCAAGATCAAGAGACAGGCATGGTGGTTTTTGAATTCATGTGTGACGTGCACATGTGAAACAAGCCAGATCTGTGTACCATCCAGTGTTGATGAAACTTGGCCCTATTCCATCAAAGGTACTGCAAAGGTGACTTTGTTGCTGAGAAAATGTGATGGTTTCTTCAAATATGTTCAAGATTCCTCATCTTCAAACTTCCCCAACTTTTGAAATCGTTCTAAAATTGTGACTGCGATGGTGTTTGCAACATATTGGATAGAGTAGCAATTTCTGTACATGCTGTATTTCTCATCTTTTCTTTGCTTTTTTTAAGTCTAGATTTTTTCTCTGTTGTCATCAGCAAAATGAAATATTCAGAGTGACAACAATCCACTTCAAAGTCATACAAGCAGTGTGTTTTCAGCAAAACTGAGTATCGCCTCTTAAATCTAACAAATCATTATCATCCTTTTCACAAATTGAATGAAATATATTGAAACTATGTACAATCTTCTCTCCTCGTTTCGTCCACCAAAAATGAACACATATTTGTTTGAGAGATCAGTTCTGATTTAGACTAGAGGGACGTCAAATAAATCCATGACGCCCTCGCTGTCGTCCAGATTGAAATAATAGTCCCTGTCACTAGGGGGCGGGCTCAGGCGGAGTAGTGGAGCAAACACTGGAACGAAACATTTTGAGTTTAAGTTCACGTAACTTATAAAGCTAATAATCTAGTAACTTTTGGTAAAAACTTGAAAAATAAGTCTGTCTTGAAAGTTTTGTTGGAAGATGATTCTCTGCCAAAAATTTTTTTTCACTTTGAAAACTTCACCAAACTTGAAAATGTGCCTCTTGGTAAGTTTGAAAATTTTGTCATTTAATATGGCCGTGTCAGATTCACGCATTTTAAAATATTAATAAATTATTAGGTGATGAAATTTTCAATTTTTTACCATGTTCATTTTCAAAAAGACTAATTCAATAAATACACATTCAAGTTTATAAGATGACCCCAATATATTTACGAGACTGGGTTAAGTTCCATTATTGTTTTCAAGTTTTATCCAGATTGGACATCTTCACATTGTTGTTTAAAATCTATGCATCTATACACTAGTAATTACACAGACTGATAAAGATATTAAAATGGCTTAGATACATTTAAAAAGTACTCACTTTCAGAAGAGATGAGTTCATCGATGTCTATGTCTTTTGATGGATCAAATATCATGTCTGCTGGCATGTGTGATGAAGAATCCGCCTGTTCTGTTACGTTTTCAGCTGAAAAAAAAATGATGTTACACTTTAGTTGTTCAAATTAATGTTCACTGTGAAGAAAATAGTACAAATTCAGCATAATTTGAGAGTCAGTTTCCATATTGCTTCTTTATATAGCTTTCTAATTTTTTATATTGCTTTCTAATACACTTAAATTAACAATTATGGCCAAAAACTTCTCAGGCTATCTCAAATGCTTTCCATTAAAAAGTTTGTAAAAACTCACAAATAGAAATACTCCAGCAACATTAAACAACAGGAGTGGTAGAGTACAAACTTCCACAAAATTTCAGCTCACCTTGCCCTTGTGACCCTACCACATTTTGTTGCGATGCTGCTGCTTTACGCGGAGACGATCGTGTAGCCATGCGCGTGGTCACGGGTAGAGTGGCAGGCGATGTGGTATCCATGGGTGCTGCCAGCGGCTGAGACTGCCGCAACGGAGACTTGCCCGGAGATTTTGTTAATGGGCTCTGGTTCTGAAAAAGGTACAGTCTGGTGTGAAACAATCTGTGGGAATATTCTTTTTTTTTTTTGTTTATACTGTGATGACACGACACAGAATTCAAGTTCATCATTTCATTGTGTATTTTAATTATGAGATGCCACTATTCGAAAGACATACAAAGATATATCACAAAGTTCCGTATAACTAAATAATAAGTACATGTCTTTTCCTTATCTATTGATGTAATCTATATTCCTAAACCTAGATGGGTTAAAATTGTCTATGAAGTCAGACCTGTTGGTAAAAACACCAACCAACAGGTACAAACTAACTGATATATATATATATATATATATATATATATATATTTTTTTTGTGCCATACATACTAATATCTATGTACATATTTAGGTTTTTGCACAAACCCCAAAATAAATCATGCAAACAAAAACACCTGGTATGTTTCTAAAGGTATACCAACTATGTCTTAAGATATACTTTACCCACCTTTGTCTGTGCCCCTTTCTTGATCTGCATAGGTGACCCCGGGGCGGGGTTCTCGTTTTGGCTGGGCTGCTGAGGAGCGCCCTCTTTAGGCGGAGGTACCTGGACTACAACTGGACTCGTGGACTCCGAGTCTTTATTGACTAACAGCACCGATATTGGACCCGAATGGCTTTTGAGATGAATCTGGTATTTCTTCTTTTGGTTCTGTAAAAGAAGTGTGTATGATACAGTGTATGATACTACCTCAAATATTTAGATATATAGGATTGCAAAGAAAGTACAATTTGTTTTAATGCAAGGCTTTTCTTAGCGAATCATCCAGCCATCATTTGGATGGCCGCCAGTATCACTGGATGGCCTACATTTTCAAAGACAGCTAAACAGCTCATGAATTTTTTTGAAAAATGATGGCTTGACTTCCTGAAATTTTGTAGGAAATTATTAGTTAAAATTTTGTTGGTCTGTCCCACAATCCTGATAAAAGCCCTGTTTTAATATTATATATGACAAATAATACACCTAATATAGACATGAATATACTTGTAAAGTCAAGTTACCTATAGATTATGTGTAAGGCAAAGAATGATATACATGATTTGCACCCATTTCATCCAGAATAGTTGATTTTTTGCTCCCCAAGCAAAATTATCATCACAAGACAATTTTTATGGGATGTCTAACAAACCTGAGATCAAAACACTCAAATGAAAGAGACCTATCACAAATGCATCAGACTAACTTTGTACAGAAATAGCTCCCAAAAACACTGTTTACACGGGTATTGTCAACCGTGTGAGCCCAACACAATAAACAATTCACACAGTTAACAGTTAAGAAAACAAAGTCTATATCCAGAACAGAGGCACAATCACATCCATACCAAAAGTGATTCTGATTCTATTAATACAGATTTCTTTACTCTGTCCTCAATTTTTACTGTTATCTAATTATGCTTACCTCAGTGGTGTTGCAAGCAAACCATTTTCACAAGAGAAACAATTTGTGGAGATATTCATAAACTTAAACCATGCAGATACACAAATGAAATAATACAAAAATGATCCAAATCAGTTTCGCAAACCAAAGCACATGTAAACGAGCTTTTCGAATTCCTCCAGTGACGGCAGACTATTGTGCTGTATGTACCCGTGATGACCTGATATTGTTTGAACATCCGCTCTGTTGTTGTGAAATAAGACCACAGGTATGTTATTATAATGTACAATTGTGTACTACACAACTGGTTAATCCCATACAATAGACTGGTATTATATCAAAATGACCTAGATCTTAACAAGAATGCATTACCTAAATACTCAGTGTATAAATGTACCATGCTTTCCAGTTTCTATAAATTCTTATTCCTATAAATTCTTATTTATTGATGAGAATTGGGCTTCATAAGATAAATAGGACAGGACAAAGAAAGTTGAAACCAGGAAAAACCATTTCCCTTAAGTGAAATTACTCCATTTATGGAACCTTTCAAACATTTTCTAGCAACTTTTAACGCTGTCTCTTTCAAAAATAATAAGGACTTATCTTTAAAATGGAGTGAAAATCCTATCAAAAAAAAAAAAAGAGAGATTTCTGGAATATTTTAAAACAGGTACCCAGACCAATAAAAGCATCGGACCTCCATGCTCTCTGTGTAGCCCAAATCTACCCATGGAGACAAGCAACCCTAAGGAACCTGGCCACCAAGGAAGGGTTTTTCCATTTAAGCATCCAGCCGTCATTCAGATGGCCGCCAGCATCACCGAACAGCCTAAATTTTCAAAGAAGGCTGGACATCATATGGATTTTTTTTTTTTTTTGAAATATGATGGCTTAAGGCATACTTGGACTCCCTGAAATTTTGGAGGAATTTACAGGTGGTAATTTTGCACGGCATGTACTCCCAATCCTGGGGAAAAAACCTGCTGAGCATGTACATCCAGTTTTGAGAAGAGGCCTGTCATGCAGGAGAGTGAAATGCTTACTGCCCAGAGATTCACTGTAATAAGTATCCCCACAATTCATTTTTAAGCCATTTACACACTGCACAGAATCAGACATCAGACACAGACTGGCACAACTATTTGTTAGTCTTAAATTCCACTCTGAGGAATATAATTTTATAGCTCCTGTAGTTTGTTAAATGACAGGATGATAATTGTGTGCATGTGTGTGTGTGTGTGTGTGTGTGTCGGCGAGGGGGGGGGGGGGAATACTTACTAATAGTGAAGTTAAATCTGGCCTGACAGGTTCTGTGAAACCTCCTATGTGAACCTGGAAAGAAATGCAATAAAATCTTTTAATATTATGATTTTATTGAAAAGCTCATAAGATTTCATCATAACTTCTATTTTCACATTTTTATTGATTTTTCTATTTTAGTCCATTTACTTACATGTAAACTTCACATGGAGTGAATGCTTTACATCTAAAGAAATGCTATCATATCCTTACTTATATTCTCAAATGTTCAGCTCATGTTATATTAAAATTGAGAAGCATGGAAAATGTTGCCCACAGCATTTTGCCATACCTTGTTGCCTGTAACATTTTAGTCTTGGTTAAAGTACGACAATATTCTCAATCATCATCTGAAATCAAGTACAACAACCAAGCTGATCTGAATGGCAATTCCCCCTTCTCTACTCACCCCCTCTGGTATTGGTACTTCTAGCTGTGTTCCTGAGGGGGCCTGGATGGCTAGTAAAGTATCACCTTTGAAACATTTGCAGATATCTTCGTGGGTGACGTAGGCCAATGTAACTTAAGGTTAAGGCAAGATAAGTTAGAGTTCAAATTCTCCTTTCCATTTTTAAAAAAGAATGCATCACATCTATAACTGAAAATAATTTTGATTCAAAATTTGGGGGGGAGGAGATTTATTTATTCTGTCTTTTTCTGGACAATTCACAAACTGCTGAGTAGTAGATACCACAGACAACAATGATTACATGATATCTAAGCTAGTAATTTCATGCTAAAAATTCAAATAAATCACCACATTTCTAAACTACAAGCACCCTTTTAAAGCAATTATTAGACTGTTTTTCATGAACGTAAAAGGAATTTCATCAGAAATACAAACAAGGAAAAAAAATTGTAAATTATTTTGAGAATCTTTTGCGATAAGGATAAGAAATATCAATCTTGAAAAATTAAATAAACAAACACCCGTCTCTAGGATACTTCAAGCATTGATAAGAGACACTTTCAGATTTTACGAACACTTAAAAATCAACAGTCTCTAAGACTGCAAGCACCTGCCGCTGAAAGGATATTTGTGATTGGTCTGGTCATCAGTGACATTCCTGATACTTTGTTGGACCCACATCTTGTGTTGATCGAGTTCTTTTTCCCTCCGGTCCAAGTCCTCCATCTCGTGTTTGAGCACCACTAGACGGTTGGAGATTTCTTGGGTGTTGCAGCCTGGCCCTGCTCCTCTGAAATACGGATATTAAGACTTGTGAATGCAAACACACTGCTAGCGTGATGCCAACTGGTTGTCTAAGACAAGCAGGATCCATCTAACTCTGAGAGGATTCACGCAAAATTTGATTCAGTTTAAGTGGCTTAAATGTCTGTCACGCCCACAGAAGCTAGGGGGTTATTAACTTTGGTGCATGCTCAAACTGAATGCAATTTAGCGAGAATCCCCTCGGAGATAGGTCAATCTTGCAAGTATGATAGGGTTAAGGGAATGGTCCCTAATTTTACCAAATCTTAATTAATTAATTAATTAATAACAAAATGCAGATGTAATTTTTAGAGAATTAAAACTTCTTTACAATGACAATTTAGTCCTACAAAGATGAAGCGCCAACTTTTTTGTCTGAGAATCTTTATACTTTAAAAATACAAATTGGGGGTTTGGGCCGAACTAGACCTCATTAACACAAATGCTCATCATATGTAAATAAATATTTTCCTTTCTTGGTCTGGGGGATTATCCCCGTGACATAAACAAGTCAATCAGTCAGATAGGTACGGGGTATATTGGTAAAGTAATCATGGTTAATCTCGGTGTAAACAGCCTACGTAAACAGTGGGTGAACTTTTAAGATAAGGCTGCCAGGCTAGCAGACAGAGGCTCGTCCCCTCTGCCTGACAACCATCAGTTTAAGTTTCTCTGTGTCTTTGAAGAGTGTGGAACTTGGCCATGATGCGGGTCTTGTCTTGGTGAGATAAATATTTCTTTGTGTTTTCAGAGCATGGACCTTGGTCACACTTCCCACGTAACCTTGGTGAGATTAACAGTGCTCTGCTCTTCAGGGGTTCAATTTGCTGATTTCCTTTCTGCAGACTCTTTCAGCTAACGACACTTCCAGAAATACCATTAGCTTACTATGCATAGCTTTGTGGGTAAGGAAATTTGTATATTCAGGTTGTTGTTGTATGTTTTTGAAACAGTAAGCTTAGAACACTTGTCCATGTAAAGCTGCCCATACAGTAAGCTTATCAAAATTACCATTTTTGTCTAATGTAGAAAATCACCAGCCAAGCAACTAAATAAACCACCTGATGTCATCATTTTTCCATAGAGTTAGATATATATACTCACTTCCATTGTATACTGTTTTTTGATTTCTTCTCAATCAGTCCAATTCCTTCCAAAACATTCGTGATATCGTAGATTCTTCTTTTTTGTCTTACAGCTAGTGTATCTGCTGCCTGCAAAAACACAAGATATATACCAGTACATTCAGTGTAAGTTACAGAACTAAACACTTGGTAATCAGATATATTTCAAATAGACTTATATCTCATGAGAAGTAGCTGCAAAAATCGAAGTTCTAGCATAATGCAAACTCTTTTTTTCAATTTGAAAGGTAAAGGCATGCAAATCTCAACAGTACCCACAATTTCAAAACATCTCAAATTTCTATTCTGAAACATTCTTTATAGTCAACAACTAAAGTAGTCTCAAAACTTCAATTACACACACCAAGACTCGAAATGAATTACAACCCAAGTTTCATACACTGAACACATTGGCCAAACAATGAAACAAAAATTTAACAAATCTTATCACGCAGCAACACAGGTTACTTTTCTGGTTTGTTTTTTGTGGTCTATAACTAAAATACAGCATCAGTTGGCTCAGATGATTTAGCCTTTTAAATATTTCAAAACCTTGTTACATGGCATAACAACCTGATATGCTTTACAGGCTCAAATGTAATTGAAAATTGTTACTGTTAGTAGTAGTACTACTGAACATAAACACCTGCTTTGTGCTTGGCGTTAAATAACAGTCAAGTGCACAAAATACTAGCTAAATTGTTTGAAGCTGTAAATAAATGGGACTTAAGGACATTAGACTTCTATGAACTGCCCCAGCATGGTGACAATCACACACCATTAAAGAGGTTTTTAACAAGCCAAACATGGCAATCAATTAAGGTAAAGCTAACTGTGAAACTGACAGGGGGCGGTGGGCACAGAATCAGTTCTGCCATCAATTCCAGCATAGGAGTGTCTAAAATTCTCATTACTGAAAAAAAAACTTTAAAATATTCATAACTTTTAATCAATATTATAGGGAATTAACATGCTGAGACATGCATTTTTAAAACACAGTAAATCAAGGTGACTAGAAAGGTTAAACTTTACTAAATCAAACATGACTTCACAATAAAACCAAAAACATTTTAAGCATGTACCACAACATGACAAGAAACAAAATCCAGAGGGCAAAAAATACTAGTAGTGTCTTCAGGTATGGGACTGCCCTTTGAACTAACTGCACTTTTAAAAAACCAAAACTGCACAAAATCTCAGCATGGAAAACTTCAAAAAGTACAAAAATTCTAAATACTGCAAATAATTGCAAAGGTTCCTTAAGTCCAAAGTCACCTTTGCCATTATTTTCCAGGATGTTTTAGACTTTGGTCCCCATTAAAAAAAGTTACTACCAATTCCAGGTCAATAACATTTGATTTAAACACACATGGTTACTGTGGTGAAAAATACAAAGTTTCCATGGTAACAACATAACCTACAAAACTTGGTATTACAACACTTCGAGGCTTATACTGTACTAGTGCCATATCAGACATGGGAGGCCTTTACCAGTTATTTCAACTAAAAAATTTCTAATATTTTTTAGTCCTGATGAAGAATTGTGAGCTAAAACTTGTGAATGAAGGAATAACTGTTGCCGCATACCACACAATACATATAATCAGAAAAAATTATCAGCCACAGTTTCATAACTTTTAAAAATTCAAAAATTCTTGAATGTTGTTCATCTGCTGATTTGCATAAAATCAAAGATTCTACCAAAGCTTCTCTTCACTTGAAAATATTTGTGTTATCAGTTTTATACAGAAGTTAGCAGGCCCTGGAATTCTGATATTTTGATAGACTGAAAGGGTCAGTTTCATGTTGCTATCAGTGCTCTATGAGGAGTGATAATCATGTGTATTTATACCCAAGACTGGGTTCCCATACAGTACTTAGATCGATCCATCTGGATCGACCTAACTCCCTGGGGGTTCACGCTAAATTGCTATCAGCTCAAGGGACTTACAGGTCTGTCACGCCTACGGAATCAGCTAGGGGGTAAAGATAATTACTCCCTAACAGCTTTACTAGGCGTAACAGAGATTTAAGTCTGTTAGGTTGATAGTGATTACTAGTACCAGTAAATGAGACTCCCCAAGAAATAGATGGATCCAAATATCTGTGGGAATGGTCCCTATGTGGTGTTTAGGGCTGTATTCCCAGAGCTTTTAGATCGATCTATCCCCGCGGGGAGTCTCACTAGATTACTGTCAGATAATCCGCCTTAAGTGTCCGTCCCGCCTACTACAAGCTGTAATTAACTTTCGTGTCCGCCCGGTTGACAGCTATTTAGCGTGAACCCCCAGGGAGTTAGGTCGATCTAAAGTAGATCGATCTAATCTCTGGAAATGGGGTCTAGGATAATTAGTATGAGTGCCCAGTTTGGTGTCGGGAATGAATGATCATGTGTGGCATGCAGGTAGGGCTAGTGATGCTGGGAGAAATAAAGGGCAAATTAGGAGATTATGAGAAAGACTGTAGGAGGCATCATTTACCACTAATGGGATTAACTGTGTATGTTTTGAAGGGAAAGCAAGTTATGAGAAAAGAGCTGGGGGAAGAGAGAGAGAGAGAGAGAGAGAGAGAGAGAGAGAGAGAGAGGTGGGGATAGAAGTGGATATGTAGCTGTGCTGGTATGTGGGAAGAGGAGGAGTTAGCCTGAAGGGTGTCTTGCATAATAGCAGGTGGTGAGAGTGTAGATGGTGATAGAAGAAGAGGCTCTTGAGGGTACTATGGGGGAGGAGGTGGAATGGGGGTGTGTAGGGTGTGTTCTCTCTCAAATGTGCCTTAATCAGCTACCACAGAGACTAATAAATGTGTACAACTGTGTCATCTTTATGGCCTGCTGCTATATAATACTATATGCTTATCACAGTGGATGGGGACATTGTCTGGTGCTATATTTGGTGTGGTATATTGACACAAAAAAATCCCCCAAAAGTGAAACCCCACATCACAATCAACCAATACAATGTGCTTATGCACAACTCTGTCAAAGCATATTTTCACGGCATATAATATCCACTACAGTTCATCCTTTATAGAACATACTGATAGGAATAGTGGTGTAATATAGTCGAATTAAACTATATATGACATTATACTGGTATAATTATATCAAAGTTGAAATATTTTGCTGAATGAACGTCATTCATACAAGGATTCCACATTTGCACAATATGCAGGTATCATAGCACAGCACATATGTGGACTACATATGTGGACTATCGATCTAAACGCCATGTCACACGTATTGAATGGACGCTAAATCGGCGTGGGGTCAACAGGAGTCAGAGTGGAATGCAAATTTCCGTGCGTGGGGTACGTACCTGTTGTTTTGAATAGGAAATGCAACCTACATAGAGAATGCTACTTGAAAGATAATCCACGTACGGATATGTCAAAAATTCCCAGCTGAAATCCCACCCACACGTGATGAAAATGACAGATATTTCAAATTGTTCAATCAGTGCGTAGGATGCAGCATATAAAAGGTGACCCAGAATACAAACAATGAAAAAGGTAAACACAGCGACCTCTCGAAACGGGACCGTAAATTTCACACATTTCTCTAACACCGATTTGTGTAAAACTGCCCAAACTCACCACTTTCAGATCGAGCACGCCATCTTTTGCCTCCTGAAGAAGTGAGACGAATCTGGTGGTTAATAAACCTAGACTTTTCTCATGCCGACTCGGCGTGGTATCCGCAGCCATACTCACTGCAAGCCGTTGGGTAAACCACGCTTCGACGAGAGAATGCGTGGGTTGGCGTGAGGGGAGCTTCATCCTGGCATTTTAAAGATGGCTGCCTCCTGTAAGTCTTATTTTTCGTCGCTGTTTTAAACAAAACCAGCTTTCTTTCCTAAACAGATATTTTAACTGAAATTCTACTAGACAGAGTGATGTGATAGTTTCGTTGGACACTTTCCCGTGTGTTTTCTACCCCAAATCGCTACAGTATTATGCAATAACCAGAAATGTACAGCGTAGACCATAAAATGCCCCTACGCTCCAACGAGTGAATTCCAACTATCTTTCACTCTGCTGAGATAGAAATTTATTACCAAGGGGATAATTCATACTGAAGCAAAAGGTTGCCTGATTATGTGTAGTATGTCCGATATATTACTGAGTGTACAAAACTGAATACCTTAATCCCCTGGGGATGTTTGGCAAGTAAAAATAATTCGAATAGAAATAATTAATACGTCTTAATAGGCAAAGTATGCTGTAAGAAGGTTGAAATGTTTTTCATTCGTAAAGTTTTTCACACAAGTACCATATTTTCCCTTTTATTCATTTAAACCTTTAATTATGGAATAGCACAATCATATAGTACATGCATACCCTATGTCTGAAAAAAAAAAAAGACAAGCAATATGTTAGCATGAAATATTCATATTATTCATATTCTTACAATGTTCTTCTAGGTATGGTATGTAATACAGGCCCCCATGCCTGGCAAAATACACAGAACAGTCGCTATGCAACTAGCTATCAAAACAAACTACAAGACTACCAGGATGAGCAACTTTATGGATATAACCGCAGTTGTAAGAAAATATGCCTTTCACCCATCTCCTGGTCTAGCGAAGGAGGGGCAAAGTTCAACAACTCCTCTTCAGTAGTCCACAAACTTGGAATTTTACTGGAATCGGAGGATCTTTCAGATTTAACTCTGAAAGTTGGCCACAAAACTTTCCAAGCCCACAGACTAATACTCAGCTGCGCCAGTGATGTGTTCAGAGTTATGTTAATGAACCCAAGATGGCCAGAAGCTCATAAAGCCAGCATTGTCCTCAAAGAGGAGCCCGAATGTATCGCAGTGTTCCAGCATTTTCTGAGGTACTTGTACACTGGTGTTATTTCATTGCACAGCAGAACTGTATTACCTTTACTCATGTTGGCAGACAAATACAACATTGATGACCTCGGGCAGTTGTGCGTAGACTTTATGTGTGAACACATGGTTGCTGCACCTGCTGAAATGTACGTTGTTTCCTGGTTACAGTACGCACAAGTCTGTGGTCACGGCAAACTTGAAGTGGCCTGCAGCAACTTCGTGTTGTGGAATTTTGAAACTGTGATACAGACATCAGATTTCGTCCTCATGGATAGGAACTTACTTATACACTTTCTTAGTAGTTCTGAGTTAGTGATTAGTGATGAGTTTACACTCTATCTTGGTGTCTGTCACTGGTTGGCCCATCTATGCACAAGAACAAAAAAGAAGTCTGCAATGTTTCACGATGTTGTCCTACAAGTATTGGCACATATTAGATTCCCCATGATGTCACCAGTGCAGTTAGAGCAACTAAATCACCATCCCTTGTCTGCTGACTTTCAAGCATTTCTTCAGCAAAAGATCAAATTAGCCAGTGAGTACCACTCTTCATCACTTGAGGCCAGAAAAAGCATGGCTGGTGTCAGTGGAGTTTGCGACGAGTTCAGACCAAGAAATTACACATGTGATACCTGGAGTACCGTTCTCTCCATTGAAAATTTCAAAACATTACCAGAGCACAGTGTTCGCCCAATCATTTTTGCTACACCTGTCAGTGGGTCGAAGGCAGATGAAAATAGCCAATGGGAATGGAGCGCCGACTTGTACCCAAAAGGTGTCCACTTCCAAGGCTGTGTCATGATAGGTTTGCAAAGAAACTATGACATTGAGGAAACCATCTACGAAAATGTCCGTCTAGCTCTGCAGGCAAAAGAAGACCCCAATGTGAAGTCATCCGCTTCTTCCTGCAGGCATGTTGACATTGCAGTGTTAGCCTTCGCAGAGGAGGGCAATATTGAATATGTCAGGAATGTGAAACATAAGAGGTTCATGTTTGACGGAGAATGGACGGTGTGTAATCTCAATGATGTGGTGCCTTTTAACGACCTCAATAGCAAAGTCACATCGTATCTGACAGGTCCAGAGAAATCCACCTTCAAAATTGTGATCATCATAAAACCAGTTTGAAAAAAAAGGGAGAAATGAAACAAACTTTTATGGCAAAGAAAGGGGATATTAGTCTCACCAGAATTATAAGACCCTGTTCACATGACAAGTCTATTTTCTAAAAATCTATTTTCTATTCGCGGTATCTTGTGATCACGGTCTGTGCCCTGAATACCCCGCGGCGTAATTACTGGCAGCGCGAGCCAGTTACTTCCAAAGCTGTAATTAATTCTCGGCTGCCCTCAGAGTGATCACAAGATACCGCGAATAGAAAATAGATTTTTAGAAAATAGATTTTTTAAGAGGGATATTTAATTTGGCAGACAAAGAGATTATATTTGTTTATTTTTTATTTATTTATTTTCTGATATGGTAATTATGAACAGAAATTGATTATGGGAATTTTGCAACTGGTGGATTGAACTCTTGAGTGGAAAGTTTAACTATCCAGTGAGTATTCATGCCACAATTTTTCATGCTTCTTTTGTGTCATTTGATGCAAGTCTTGGTCTGGTAAGAAATGTCAAATCTCAAAGTTAGTATTCTTGAAGCAGTGATGTTTATTTTTTTTTTTCTGTTGTCAGTCTTTTTTCTCGGTGAAAATGTGATTTTTAGGAACAACATTTTTCTGTAAGTTAATTGCATTAATTGGCTAGTTACAGGTGTATTATAGTTGTGAATTGAGATGGACCAATTAGTAATAAATTGGCATAGATACCTTTTATACTTCTTAGTCGTGTGTGTGTGTGTGTGTGTGTGTGTGTGTGTGAGAGAGAGAGAAAGAGAAAGAAAGAGAGAGAGAGAGAGAGAGAGATTGTGAAATGTATATGTTTGATAATGTGTAAAGTAAGATATACCATTGTTCTCCAAAACACATGGATGCTGACTTTCATTTGCAGCAGTGTTGAGTTATGCAGATTTTTTTGTGATTATGGCAAACTTATCTAAACTATGTTGTTGTTTTTTTTAATCTGAACCACTTTTATAAAAATGTTAGTGTTTGGTATTAGCTGTAAGTATATAACATTATTCGGTATAGTGCGGTTCTCCTGGGAAGGAAACTTGTACAGATCAGTTTTGTCTGATTTTTAAAAAAAAATCTTTGTTGTAAGATATTGATTTGTTTTCATGATGACATTGTTGATATGGGAAAGTTTGTAAGGAATACAAAAAGCATTGTAATATATTGTCGCCATGTAAAAATGTCCATGTCAGACTCAGTGCAGTGTTCTCTGTGTGCTTTAATGCTGTTTTTGGTAAAAAAGTCTCTCTGGAAAAGCAAAGCTTTTGGGATGTATTGTATTTAAAGATGTCGATATTTATTGTATATTAGATTGAGACGTTTTGGTGAGGGACTAAGGGACCATTTCCAGACCCTATCGAACTAACTGTGGAGTGATCTATCTCTGAGGGGATTCTCGCAAAATTGCAATCAACTTAAGTGGCTTAGATGTCTGTCATGCCTACTGAAGCTACTAGGGGGTTATTAATTATCATTAAGCAGCTTCATTAGGTGTGCCAGATATCTAAGCTGCTTTAGCAGCTTTAGCTAGAAACCCCTCGGAGATGGATCGATCCTGTTAAGTCGTTCTAGGTATGGGAATCCAGTCTTACAGTGAAACGAGAGCAGAATGCCAGTGTATTAGGTGCCATACTAACTTGTCACCTGTGTCCTCCTAGGTGTCCAGACTGAGGTGTCCACGTGACACCTGTCAATATTTACTGCCTTTTCTCTTTCATGTTAAATTGTTTTAACAATTAAAATTGCTTTGGAAGTTGTTTTTTAAGTTTGCAGTGTTTTTGATATGTTGAGGATTTCTGATTTTTAGATAGTGCATTTGTGAAGAATTGTTTTCCTAAGATATATATTTATCTGATGTTTGGAGTTTTCTGACGCAGGGTTTTATGCGTTTTAATTGTTGACAATTCTTCTGATTTTAAACCTGATCTTGGTGATATCTTAGCACAGGAGGAATGTAGTTCTCTTGATGAAACGCATTGTGGCTTAACTCAGTTTTTCTGGTAAGATAGTACTAAATTTCTGATAGGGTAGAACTTAGAATTAATACAATAGATATTAATAAATATTTAAAGTTCCTTTCTTTGCGAAAACTGCCTTGGAAAAGTGCTTCACGTTAGTGGCTAATGATTTGTAGTTCTATATGCGTTGCTTGGTATTTAAATGAGCTTTCTGTGTCTCAAAGTGGAGAATCGGGGGGAGGGGAGATGTCACGTTTTCCTTTTGCAAATATATTAGCCAACTGCAAATATTGTACCATCTTTCTGGTCCAATAAATTTTCTAGCCTTCGAGTTTGTCTGTCATTTCATAGTACATGTATAAACACCTGGCTTTAAAATGAAGCTTGTGGAATAATCTTCTCTGTTACATAATTTTAATACGTAAAATAATGAACGTGTTGAAAGTCATTTAACGCTTAGTTTGTAAAATATATTACAAAATGAAAAGAAACTAATACAATCATTTCTATAAGTGTTCATGATCTTTGCATTTGGATTACATTACAAAGGCATCTTATCTGCAGCTATGTGTTAATATAAAATTAACTCATTTCATTTAAAATCAATTTTGTAAGAAGGAGGGAGAAAGCATGCTCAACTGTTTATCAGGCAAAAACAAAATCAAATTGACAGACAGTGACCAAATTTAATTATAAATCCCATTAAAGCACACATCATTCCTATTTAAATAGACCTTAATAACATGATAGGCCTATCCATGGCTTCAGAGGGATTTTGAGAGACAAAAAACAAAGCGATATTTAAGAAATGTTTTATTGTTCACCGACAATTATACATTACTGCTTATATTTGCGCTAAACGAGAAAAATAATAAGTATAGATAAAATTTTTATTTGTGTGGTATTCTGAAACATTTTAAGGTATTGAAAGTTATTCCTATTGTTTTTCCTTTTATTTCTGATATTTTGCAAAGAAAATTGTCTTTCAGTTCAATATCAGCGAGATTAACGTTTCTTTAAACTGGATTCTTGGATCACATACTAAGGGCAATGGTTACTGAGCAATTGGCTCCTCGCTTGTCTGTGGAGAGATATGCAACTTTGGAAGGCTGCCATCACTTGGTGGGAGCAGCATTCGGCTCATCTTCTTCAGTTCCTTGTAGTTGTTAGGGTCCTGCGCGCCACGTGCCATGCGATTGGCCGACTTACGATTCCTGTGGCTGCGTTTCCTTTGCACGGAACCAATCGATAAACGACTTGCGTTTTTCAGGCTCATTTTACTCGCCGCAGGGTTTGTCGTCTGCTTTCTATCTGCGGTGCCCGAATGTAACGTGGTGCTACTCTGGCTGCGCGTGCTTTTCATGGCGTTCATCTCCTCACGTGTCATAGGGACCACGTGGCGGAGGCCTTCTTGAAGGGAGAAAAGGAATCGCTGTTCCACGTCACTAAACACGTCAACACCTAGGGGAAGATAGTTTTGGAAAATAAATTAAACATGTTGCCATCGTAAAAAAAAATC